AGATAGGAAATTGCTTAGAAGTTACGCCTTCTGAGAGGAGAGAATGTGATACTAGGAAAGGCGTGAAATTCCCTCTCAAAGTCATCTTAAAATTTATTTCACTAGAAACCCTTACACTGCTACTAAAAACAGCGTAACGTCTCGAATCGCATATGTAAAAACCTTTGGAGGCGCAGTAAGGCGGCACTATGTGAGTTTGATAGACGCTGTTTAAATGCAGGAACAATAGGCTCAGTGCTGATAAAACTCGTACATTTCGGCATATGTAAAAATGTTCGTTAGTGCACTTATCTAAACGACATCGATAGCTCAGTACTTGAAGCACAAAAACTTGGAAACAGCACCATTACTTGGGAAAAACCTCAAAGTGGCCTGCTAAAATCGCCAGCTTCGGAGCTAGCGAGTGAATCGTGAGTAAAACCAAGAATCTCTAAGCAAAAAAAATGTAATTTAGGAGAAGGCAGGACTACTTTTCACATGATAAAGACAAAATTATACAATATAAATACTAATGCATGAATTTTACTGTGTACCCATGTAGTAACAGAGAATGTGTATGGCCTTACTGCCTACTTTATTAAAAAGCCAGAATCGCTTCCGTGAGTAACTGTACTCATTCAATATATTAGTCGAGACCAGCTCCGTCGAAATAAAATGCCAACAACTTTTATGTGGTACGGTGAATGCAATTTATCTCGATTACAAAACTAACTTGTGTCCGAAGTTGAGGGGCCAAATCGAAAAATGCCTCTAAAAAGCCCATTTCCAGTGTCTCTTTGAATATTTCACGACCCTCTACGGCACTGAAAGCTATGCAAGATGCAGGGAGGGGACGGCGGTAGAATTGCCGTGGTTCCTGTGGCGGCGCAACAAGGTTTGCCTTGTGGGGACCATTTGAAGAAGAGGCGTACAGCCTTGAAGAGAGCAAAGAAGGAAAAGATACAGCGACTGCTGCGACATGACCGCCGAGTAACTGCCTGACTAACCAAGGAGTCAGGCAACGAAGCCGCTCATGACACATATCCCACTTGGAGCTTGCGCTAAAAAGAAACTGTGATTTGTCTACTCAAATCTTGCTTATGTGCACACGACCTGAGCAACAATACCAAACAACAAGAAATCTTACGCACACACACGGAATTAGACGACTTACTAAACAATAGCTTTATTATTTGCTAAGGATTAACTGGAATACTACAATTACTCGCCAAAATAACAATGCTATCAGTAGCACGATCATGAATACATGAAGGAACCAATAAGTTATGAGGATTGCTTAACTTTATCGGTCTTTCAGTCTTCACGAAAATGGCGATCGGGTGGACATCTCGATTGACAGTTGAAATACTTATTAAGCATCTCAGCAGATATTTAGACATAGAAAAATTCAAGTGTAAATATTTGGACGATTCCTCATACCTTTTAACAGTAAATATGATTTCGGCCTCATCAAACAACCTGGAGCAACATCTCCGAGGCAAGGGAATAATAATTAGACTGCAGCATTTGACAGCTCTGCGTCAAGAAATCTGAAGAGCTATAACTAAAAACAGTAGATTAGCTCATCTTCGCATCCAAGTGAAAGGAAGTGACTAAATGTCATGACGGTGAAGGAAATATCTCGATGTTCTCAAGAGCACTAGACAAGCCCTGACATGGATCAAATTAAGTTACCTGAGAGACTGCTGCCTCAAAAATAATGCGATGTATCGAATGCCACCTAGATCCACATGATTTATGTGCGCCTTCGCAACTCTAAAAGAAAATTAGAGCGGCCTCTGCATGTGCACGGCTCGCGACGATATTCAGGTTAGAAGTTGCCCAACATCGAAAGGTTTGAAGATTGGCTTTGCAAAGAAGGCCCAGATAGTATTGGCAATAATGTGCATGTATAAATTATACTGGTTGAGCGACTGTGCACATGCAGGAGAAGCGACACAAACGCACACATGACAGTTCCACGTAGGCACACACACAAAGAGCACCTATTGATCAAAACCAAATATGGGCGTAGCAGAATCCACAAAAGAAACCAAATTTACCTAAATCCGATGAGTTAAATACACGAAAAACTCGAATGAAATAAAAAGTTACATTTAAATTAGAAAACTTCATGCACTTCTGAGAATAGCTCCATCCATAGATTATTTGTAAATTAGGTTTTCAAACACTGCTTTCTGAGCCCTATTGCTTTTGACACAAATCAACTCGAAACATTGAGAATGGCATGTACAACAACAATGCCTCTCGTAAAACAAGCACATGAACCGGAATGCTCGTGCAATAAAAAAAGTCGTGACCGCTTCAAGTAAGACAATTGGCTACCACAAAATTGCTTAAAGGTTAAGTGACCTACTCATAAGGAGAATGAAGATGAAATCAAAACATATCTGGGCTCTACATAACGGGGAGACTTACGATCCTTTCTGGATGCGAATTTACAAATCACTCACAAGATCATACGAAACAAGTGCACATACACATCCTAAATAAGCAAAACAAGAAAGTGAGCTGGAAGGTCAGGTTCTATTTAAAGGAAGTGAACGAAAACAGAGAAAAGCATATCCTGCCTGAAGAGGTGAAAAGGAGTGAAGAAAAGGGACAATCGGTAGAGCACACAAAATCAGTCTGTGTAGAGGTGAAGTGACAAAGACTGGTGTGTAAAGTTTTGTATCTGTACACGTTATGGCAATTCAAAGGGGGAGAAGTAAAGATAAGCAGCAAGAAAGGATGTCGATGGAGGGTGCACACACAAGTGGAATGAAGCGACGGAGGATGTCGGCGTGTGTAGGCGAGCATTGAGATGGTGAAAAAAACGGCTTAGCAGCATCCACCCTCCTTTTTAATGGGTGTTGTAGATCCCACCGTGAATGTCGTAGCAGCAGCACTCGGCACAGTGGGGCTGCTCTCCTTGATCTGCATCGCCATCTTTATAAAGGCCTCTTGAACGTTATGAGCAGTCTTGGCACTGGTCTCCATGAAAGGAATCGCCAAACCATCAGCAAATTTCTAAAATCGTTATAATTAAGATCTGAGCCGGTTCCATTAATCGAAAACCACTACAATCAATTAAAGGAACTCCTTGAATGAACTGTTTAGGGCGTTCTATTTCATATGGACTACAACATAGAAGCATCCATCCTATCTAAAAGTAACGCGGATCACCTTTAAGAACACCGAAAAAAAAGCATCGCGCTCCAATCATCAGATTGGGCAGCAGACTAAAAAAGGACTTTTTTATAAGCATTTACTTAAAATCAACTAAGCACGCTAAGCAAACAAAACCTATCTTTAAGTTACGTCTAAACGCTCTAGGTAAGAAAGACGACTCATGAAAGTAGACAATCCAGACCAGAGCCGACACAAGCGAAAAAACCAAGATTCAGAGGAAACATCGACAGAGAGAAAGCACATGTTGCATGAATACGGCGACACAGGCCGTCACGATATTAATGAAAACAATATTCGACTGATAATGCATAAAAAGCAGATCTGCAATGCGAAGAAGTAAAGTAGGCATCACCAAAAAAACGAGAACACGTCAATCATACACATTTTTATATCCAATGTCATAACTCTAGATGGCCTAATAAACGCCAGAATCAAACAAAAAAAGCACATGCATGCATTATGCATGGCGTATATTCAATTTCCCGTTATTGCATAGGGGCGAGTTTGACCGCGTCGAAGAAGATTAAGTGAAAAATGACTATCACAAACTCAACATCAAGAAGTGAAATAACTAAAAAAAATCAGCAATACCTTGCCATCCTCAAAAGAAACAGCTCGTTTAGAGTCAAGATCAGACTTGTTTCCCACCAGCAGTCGATTCACCGAGGCGCTGGCGTAACAGTCGATTTCAGATAACCAGGACTTTAGGTTGTTAAATGAAGCCTGAAATGGGCAATATAGACCCGGTAAGCATGACTAAGGAAGTGGAATAACCCAAAGGTGACACAACCGAAAGCACCAAACACTATATAGTCACATTAATTTGGAACCGAAAGATAGAGGTCTAAAGATGATTTCTAATTCAAAGGACGAAGGGTGTATAGAAAACCTATAAGCACAAGAATCAAAGCAACAATAATTCAAGACATATGATCACATTGTTAGTTTAAGCCCGAAATTAATCACCAAAGACATGAATACCTCATCGGTAATATCGTATACGAT